TGGGTTCAGGCAATTCTCCTGCCTCAGCCTCCTGAGTAGCTGGGATTACAGGCACGCACCACCATGCCCAGCTAATGTTTTGCATTTTTTTTTTTAGTAGAGACTGGGTTTCACCATGTTGACCAGGATGGTCTCGATCTCTTGACATCGTAATCCACCCGCCTCGGCCTCCCAAAGTGCTGGGATTACAGGCTTGAGCCACCGCGCCCGGCAATTATACTTTCATAAGGATTTTTAAAAAATTGTAAAAATGTTCTCAAGGGTAGTTGTATGCATGAGAGAGAAGATAGTAAAATTCTATATTTCATTCTCTCCACTCTCCTATTTACAAATTGCATGAGTATCAAGATCTTTAACCCTTCTAGCAGGATACTGAAGATTTAACTTTCCACTTCTCTACAGATGAATTCTTAGTTTGAAATAGCTTCTCTAGTTACTGAGAAGCACTTTACTATGTGGTGTTTCCAGAAGAGTTCTCGGGTACTGACACCTTCCTGGGAATGTGTGTCTCCTCTTATCCTTCCTTAAAGGACAAACCTTCTTTCTGGAGATGTAGCCTTAATTTTTGGACGAATGGCATGACTAAGTAGCTATGTTTGCAGGAAACTGGTACATCACCTACGATAGGACAACATTGGAAACGATAACCGACCTAGACTCATCATTTTTACCCCACAGTGTATCCTGGTAAATGAAGTGCTCACAGGAGCTCTGATGACATCTTTGCACAAATAATTTTTAGACCTATTTTTGTTTGGTTTTGAAAATAAATGTAGATTTTATGCATACCAGTGTTGTATAGCATGAAGTTATGTGAATATATAGTTAAGAAAAAAAGTTCTACAGGAGAGTGTTTTGTCAAAAGTCTACTACTTCGAACTCTAGTCACTGCGGTCACTGAAGATGCTTGAAACGTTGGAGATGCAGGAAACAAAATATGGAAGAAAAATCTTAAGACTAATAGGATAAAACCTTCCCAAAAAAGTACTAATTCAATAAAATATTTATTTCATCTAAACATTTAGAAAAATATAAAGTTCATCCTAGTGTAAAATCTACAGGTTTTTTTTTTTAGAATATATTAATATATTTCATCCAAAGAACATGAATTCTTCCGTCTTGTACAACAAAGAGTAACATAAACAGCTGGCATATTAGAAATATAGTTCATAAAGTTTACATACTTAGAGTTATAAGTATTATTACTTTACAAAGTGAATTTTACATAATAGGACAAATGATAATTTTCAGGTAATTAGGATTTTAGTTATAATACAAGGAAATTAGTAGATTGAAATACATCAGAATTAAATATAGAAAATAATGGGAGTAAAAGCAAAGACGTGCAGCCATATTAGAACATACACAACCTGAGACACCACAGAGCAAATGTTTCAATATTATAGTGAGACTCGATTTCATCTTCACAGCAAAATTAAACATTTTTGGTGACACACTTTCCTTCTTTTTGAATAAAAGATTACTCTGTATTTTTTGTAAACATTTATTGCTTCTTCCACTGACAGTATGTGCTTCTTAAATGGTATATGCTAATGTCTTCCCAATTTATTTCTTTTGTTAAGTCCTGAGTGAAAACATTTGCAGGCTCTGGTTAGAGAAAAGAATCTGAGTGAGCAGTATAACTGATATGTGTTATCTCCATTCTTTTATCCAGATGGTCAAGAGGGCTTGGGAGCACCCCATAAGTGAGTGGAACTTGAATGGGTTCAATTCCCACCCAGGTGTGGCATGAAAAGCAAGTTGTTTGAGAGGAAATTTAATTTCAAGGAAAATAATTAGAAAGCATCAGAATAAGTTCAACCAGGAAATATTACCTAGGAGACCATGGATCAGGAAAACCAAAGACAGACCAGGGAAGATCTGAGCTCCTAGTCAATAATCCAAATGGGAGGGACTCAACAGAGCCACGAAAGGAGCACAATTAAGGACCAGCAATAAAAATGTATGACAGAGGCTGGGCGCGGTGGCTCATGCCTGTAATCCCAGCACTTTGGGAGACCGAGGCGGGAGGATCACGAGGTCAGGAGTTTGAGAGCAGCCTGACCAACATGGCGAAACCCTGTCTCTACCAAAAATACAAAAATTAGCTGGGCATGATGGCACGCACCTGTCCTCCCAGCTACTCAGGAGGCTGAGGCAGGAGAATCTCTTGAACCGGGGAGGCAGAGGTTGCAGTGAGCCGAGACCGCACCACTGCACTCCAGCCTAGGAAACAGAGTGAGACTTTGTCTCAAAAAAAAAAAAAAAAAAAAAAAAAAAAAAAAAAAAAAAAAAGGTATGACAAAGGAAAATGAGAAACCAGGAAAACAGTATAGCTCAGGTTCACTTTACCATGAGCCAAAGTAAAATCTGAAAAGACTTTAGGCAATATATGCCTAACATTTGCATTGAGGAGACAAGAAGAGAAGCATGAGCTCTGAAATTCTTCAAGGAAAGGGGGTGTGAAGATGAGCATTTCTGGGTTGCAAAGAGACATAACAGATTAGTTTGCCACTAAGCCCTAATAACACCTAAAAAGATATGCATCAAAAATAAATGAGATAATGGGAAAAATGAGAATGGACTTTTAAGAAAATTATATTTTTATTAGAGAAGAAGATTTGATTTTAAATTCCATTTATAAAACTAAGATTTCATATCATGCAGGCAATTTTTCTACAAGTTAACATTCTGACAGATGCCTGTCTCAGTTTCTTATTTAAAATAATTAAAATAAGTGAGTGACTCAAGGGATAGAGAATTGCTACGATCTCTCCACACACCATAGCTAATTTATATTTTGTAATAAGATAGCTAAAGGTCACCAAAAGAGAAATAACATAGTACAGGAAAAAAAAGAAGATAAATGAAGTCATAGTTTTAATGGCTCTCACATGAGCCTCTGTGCTAGGGTCTCTACAGCTGGTAGCATGGAGTTTTATTTGCTTGGTATGTCTCCATAAAGATCTTACTAAAAGGATAAAAGATATCAGTGACACAATAAATGGGACAATTGCAAACAGGTTAAAGAGAGTCAAGGGTTTGAAGGACGGCGTTTTACTCACATGGAACATTTCAGTGATGTTTCTTTTTTGTTTTCCAGTTGCATGAAACTTATAATCACAACTCAGCACGATTAGTACTACAAGACTGACCAACAAGGAAATGGCAAAGCATCCCAGCAGGATCCAGCGAACCACCATGTCAATTTTCCGCTTCAGCCAGAGAAAAAGCGGGTGAGAGAAATTAGCTATCTTGAGACAGTAAAAGACATTGAGGCAGGTGGTAAACCACATATTTAAGTAGTTGGCAAATGTCCAGAAGGTACAAATGACTATCTGTAGCTTCCTCTTTGTGTAAACATCTGGGAAAAGTACTATTACAATGCCATTTAGAACCATGACACTGATCAAACAAATTCTGGAGATAACTAAATTGGTGAGGATGCAGTCAATTGTGGAGATCTTTTTCTTCTTAATCCAATCAATCCAGTTGACTAGTCCAATGTATCCATTCCCCAATATTCCTATTATGAATTCTCCAGTTATTAGGATTATAAAGATGCTATCTGCAGCACTGAACATGTTTGTAGAGATAACAGTCTGATCTCAAATATCACTGTAGATGAGCTAATTTACAAATGACCTATTGACGCATGATTAGTAAATTCTTTGAATGATGCAATAAGGTTTTCATCTGCTATTATTTTGACGTTGATATCATTCTAGAAGTGTTCAGCTCTCCTCTGAAATAGTATTGTCTCTATGCTCCTGAAGACGAAACCAACTAATTGCTCCAAATGAACAGCTTGACTAGTTATTTATAGCCTGGAAAAGCTATAATTATTACCTTTT